CAGTCGGTAAAGTGTTAATAGTGAGCTGAAAATAGAAATTTATAATATAACAATTATTATTTGCACAAACTGAGAAGGTGCAAGGCCTTTACACTTACTGTATCATTACTAGGGATGGGATTCGCTTGGTCCCTACCTCCTTAAACGTTTCTACATCCACCACTAGAGGTGCTGATGGCGTTCTGCTACAGATGGCTTTTGATAGAAATTTTCACGCAGTAAAACCTACGCAAGGGTTCTTTCCAATGAATCACAGGGGTTGGCTGGTCCTCGCGACACAAGTAAATACGTTCCACGGTCTTTACCCCCTCGCCCTTCCTTTTCCCTCCTTTTAGTTTCCACTCTCTGTCTCGGGTGCAGCTGCTCGTCACACGGGCCCATGCCATCTGCCATTAGAGGTTACACACGCACGTGCGTCGTCAAAGACGCACGAGATCTGTGTAGTGGTGCGGTAATAATACCGGGTGTATCTAATAAGGGAAGTTCGGCAATTGATAGACCCCGAAAATTTCGAATTGTTCCACAAATAGAATTCATGGGAACCTAATCACACTTGCCTTATCCATTTTGGCCTAAAATTGGTTTCAAGCGTGGTAACACCGCTTTGAAGTAATTCTGGTTATTTATATTTTTGCTAATATTTCTGAAATCATAACCACTTTTTTTACAAAGTATGGGAATCATTTGGAATTTTTTTTATAAATACGAATTCTTTACCTCGTCTCTATTACAATGAATCTATGCACACAACTCGAGTCTCAACCTGATGGACATTACAATGGATGTATAATGTACATATAGGAAGTTTCGTAGCTACCAAATTTCATTTATTTACGTTATATTACCCTTCCAACTTCCCAATCTGATCTCCATTACAATGAATCTATAGTCACAAATGAAGTCTCAACCTGATGGTCATTACAGTGTGCCCTGTACATGAAGTTTGGAATCAACACATTTCACTTATTTCTGTTATATCAACTTTTCAAGTTATCAATCTGATAATATCCTTACATTGAATCTATAGTCAAAAATGAAGTCTCAACCTGATGGTCATTACAATGGATGTATAATGTATATAGTATATGCGAATTTTAGTAGCCAACAAATTTTAATTATTGTAGTTACGTTAACCTTCTAAGTTCTCAATCTGATCTCTATTGCAATGAAAATATACATATATCTAAGATGTACATTTCGATTAGCTGTATGAAGTTGCAGCTAACAAATTTTGTTTCTTATTATTCTACTACAAGCATTATAATTATTATACACATTTGTAATCTATTAAAATAATAATAATAATAATAACAATAGGCAAATATATATGGCTACCAAAAATTTTGTATGTACATACATATACGTACATACGTTGTAATTTGCATCAGGTAAGACTTAGGTTATGCAATATATGTATAAATTCATTGTAATGGGGACCAAATCGAGAACATAGAAAGTCAGTAATTTATCGTGTAATAATAAAATGACGATTAAATAAATTAAAATTATAAACGATCGAATATAAAGACACAGAATTAATTTCTACACCTAATAGATATTGACCGAGACCTCCTTACGAATTCTTAAAACTAATCTTTCTTCCATTACTAACAAATTATAAAAGATATAGGGTTGGCGCGAGATGAAAGTCGTAAACAATTACGAGATTACCTAAACGAAAAATTTCATTTTCGTTATTTCAAGATACCAAGGAATTATCTTTCGTTCGTTGGTAACAGAACAAATAACTACCTGTGTATGGTTTTAATGTTTAATCTAAAACAGCAGTCCTTAGAAAATTCACAATGCCAACAGTGAAACGACTCTGTAATATTGAATGTATGTACATGGTTCTATGATGGTTTCAATCCTATTCGCATTGGTTCGGAAAACTATGCAAATTATTCCTCGTATTTATTTACAGAAGGAATTCCTGCATTTGTCACGGCACTCCTGGTAATGGTTTTACTTGCACCATTGTTAACCAAATGTAACGAATCGTGGCTGTGAATAATGAGCCAGATGAGTCTGTTCATATTACCATATTTGTTTAGGTTCTTCAGTATACGTATAGGGTGAGCCAGAAGCGATTTTCATCTATTTTTAAATAGATACATACATCAGGAATTAAAGTTGCTAATTAGCGAGAAATAAAGATGAAAAAAATTAATGGCTCAGGAAAATGAACGAGGAAATTCCATATCGAACGAGCCTGCATGGAAATCCCTGTAAAATGATAAAATATGTAAATCTGTTTGTATATCCAGGAGCAACGTAGCAAGTACGTATATTCATATCGAGCAGTCTTTATGTCCATACGACAGCTCGAGCTGCAACAATGGCGGCTCCAAATCGCATTCATCGTATCATTCTTGCGCAACGTGCTTCAGTTACAGTCTTGTGGCTGGAGAGAAATTACCATAACGGACATTGAACGCAAAGAAATAGAGGGGGAATGGTATGGGGTGGACGTAACAGGCACGCGACATTGAGGTTGCAACAATAGTCGAATCACCGATCCCCGTTCGGGAGATGCGGACTTGGCTGCACAGCTTTTTCAACAATTTATTACCGTGGCCCCTCCAT